GAAAAGTAGCTCTATCCTTGGAGTTGGTCGAACATATCGTGTATTCGCGGTAGAGGGTATAGGTTCTTTATGGTGAGCTTATTTAGTTCACGGTAGTCTATACACATTCGGAAAGATCCATCCTTCTTCTTCACGAGCAGGACCGGTGTTCCCCAGGGCGAGAAACTCGGTGTGATGAATCCATTATTGAGCAGTTCGTTTAGTTGGCTGGATAATTCTTGCATATCTGCTAGTGCTAGACGATACGGGGATTTGGCTACGGGGGTAGCTCTAGGAATCAAGTCGATCCAGAACTCGACTTGGCGTTCAGGAGGAATTCCTGGGAGATCCTCGGGAAAGTCGTCAGGAAAATTACAGATTTCAGGAATGCTCTAGAGGTTTTTTACTTCTTATTTTTCATCTACAATGTGGGATAAGAACGCGTGGTATTCCTTGCGTAAATATTTTTGGGCTTTGACGCAAGAGATGGTGCGAAGGCTCGTACTGGGGTTGTCACCGTAGATGACGAGGGTTTCATTGTTTGGTAGATTAAGGCGAACGGCCTTCTTGTAACATAGAATATTGGTACGGTGAGGACTTAACCAATCCATGCCTATGATGGCATCGAAATTTTTTATTGAGACCGACATAAGGTCGATTGGGAAAGAGTTATCGTTTAGTGTGAGGATGCAACCTATGTCTATGTCGTTACTGCTCTCTATCTTTCCATTAGCCATCTCGATGGTGAATGTTTCGTTTAGAGATTGTGGTTTTTGTTCGGGGGCGAAGGACATCATGTATAGTATCACAACAACTGAATAATAGTAATCAAACTAACAACAACCATTGCATTAATAATATAGTGTTTAATTGTATTTGCAACATTGTTTATATAACATCAAAAGGTATGGCAAAAACTATAGACGAGACATCGTGGATGTTTCGTCTTCTCAAAAACCTGTAGTATACTTATCTACTGGTTCCCTGAGAATACAAGTGATTTTGAAAGTGTATCAGCATTTAGGTTGGTGAGTTCATAAGTATGTTTTTGTAATGGAAACCTTGTCATTGTTCTTTGGAAAACACTAGTATGTTCCTCCAGAAAATCCAATATTTTATTTAGTAAATGAAATGTAGTCTTAGGCCTTAAGACCAAAATGTATGTTTGTTACTGTACTCTGAAATACAATACTATAGTCTTATTAATAAATAAAACTATATCATGAATGTTTCCATGGACTGTATGTTGTACTGTATTAAGAGAATAGTGTACTGAATTGTATTTGTATGAAAACCCTTATGTATAAAAATGCTTGGAATCCACCAGTTGTACTGTAAAATAGTGTATTGTAATGTTGTTCTATTATAAAAATAAAACCATTAAAGTAGTGTAAATCTCGTAAACAATGTTTTAGTTGATACTATGTGAGTTTCATATAACCATGATAAAATGACTAGTAGCCTCTACGATGTTCTTCAGGCGTCGGAATGTACAAAGTTTCTACCTTTGTGTCTATTTGTTTTGGGAGCTCCATAATGTACAAAGTTTCTACCTTTGTGTCTATCTCTTCTAGATCTATCCTTGGTAGCTTATTTGCATTATTTTATCCCATAAAGTCCCATTATAACGGATGATTCATTTTGGACGTTTTAATTTGTCATTTCAGACCCTAGGAAGGGTTATAAGTGATAAAAATGAAGTCCCAGTGGCTAGAAATGTCCCATGCAACTGGTAGGACGATTTTAATGGATTAATACCATGTATTAAGGACTTTTTGGATGTCCAAAGTCTTAAAGTTTGAGACTTTGTGATTTTGAGACACATTTAGTCAAAGGATCTAGAATTTAGGCTTAAGTGCTTAAGTCATTAAACACTTATTGGAGTTTTGAATACAACGAGGGTATGCCCTGTGTAGAGAGTAGTACGCCCCGCGTACATAACCAACGTCCCTGTCTTCCAGTCAATGCAAGGCTCGCGTACACCCCGCGTAGTTTCAGGGTATGCCTAGCGTGTGCCCCCTGACGGGTTTTTGCGATTTTGGCTTGGGTCCTTGCTGGACTTTCTGAGTAGAAGTGTTTTGGTCTAACTATGGAAATGGACCTTAGGCTGAGGACCAATTAAATGGTTGGGCCTAATTTGGAAATTGGGCCAATAATGGGCCTTGTATATTTAGACCTTTGGATTAAGGATTTTAAAGTTGGGCCTTGGCCCAAATTAGGGAAAGGGTAAAATGGACTATTACCCTATGTTTGGGCATTTAGCCAAGATTGATATTCCAGCTGTTGATTAGTGTTCATTTATTGTGATATTTCTAGATTTTCGGTGAGTCAGCAGTCGGAGGTTTTCAGTTCAATTTAACATTGTGAGGCGAGTTTTCCTCAGTATACTCAAGGGTTGAAGGCACCAAGGTCATCCTTTTGGATTATTATCTTGCTTTATTACTGTTATGATTTGTTAGATCGGTATCCTGGTAGATAGGATGTTTCTATGTGGTTATGATCTGTTAGATCGGTATCCTGGTAGATAGGATGTTGCTATGCTTAGTGATCTGTAGATCGGTAAGACTATCTGTAGAATGTTATGTGATTATCTGATATATGTGCATATATTTGATTGGTGGTTGAAGCTTTTCTTCTTTGTGCATGAGCCAACAAATCAGGGCATTTCAACCTGATGGTTGTGGTCTGAGAGTATTCCATCCCGAGGATGATTGGACTCATAGTATGTGGGCATTCCAACCCGATGCTTGTGGGGCGAGTGTATTCCATTCCGAGGATGATTAGACTCATAGTATGTGGGTATTCCAACCCGATGGTTGTGGGCCGTGAGTATTCCATCCCAATGACGATTGGACTCATAGTGTGTGGGCATTCCAACCCGATGGTTGAGGGTCGAGGGTATACCATCCCAAGGATGATTGGACCCATAGTATGTTGGCATTCCAACCCAATGGTTGAGGGCCTGGGGCATTCCAACCCGTTGGTTGATTGGGCCCATAGTATGCTGTTATTATATGTATGTTATTGTTGTGCGAGTATTTTGGGGGAACTCACTAAGCTTCGTGCTTACAGTTGTGGATTTTGTTTCAGGTACTTCGGATGATCGCGAAAAGGCGAAGGGTTGATCGTGCACCTCCTCATATTTTATGTTATGATTTCTGGGATTTCTCTGATGTTAAACTATTTTGAAAACAATTTGTAAACAATAGATGGTTTTGGAATGTTTGAAAAGTTTAAAAATTTTCATGAATTCTATGGATGTTACAAGATTGAACAGATATCAGATATAGTGAATCGAGTCCCATATTCTTCGGTTATAAGGTCGATTAGATATGTTGTAATATTCAATTAATATGATTTTTCCAACTGCTTTCAGTATTGAGAGGAAAAGGATTATAATTTTTGTGTGACTAGAGTTATTAAATGATTGTCAAGAACATTCCAAGGTTATACTAAAAGACTAGTTGCTTGTGGACAGTTAGAGGTATGATTTTTATTTGGACAAACCATAGTGACATGATTCTGGATTGAGAAGGTTCTTAATCATAATTCATGGTCATATGGAAATATAGAAATGTTTCCATAAAGGGGTTGATTATTAAATCTACATTTGAGTTGGAAACTTTTATGCAAAAGAAGTGTTGAAAGTGTATACCTTGAATTTGAACATTTGTTATCATGAAATTATTTCTAGTAGCAGAGTTCTAATGGAACATTCTGTAATATCATTGGCACAGTGTCTGTGACTTTGAAGCCTTGACATCACAGAAGGTCAATGCTTGTAAGTTTGGAATTCCAATACCTTTTAGACAGTGACAAGAATTTGGAATTGTGAGATGAGCATCATTGGAATATTGTGCAGTCGATCTATTCATAAAGGAAGGACCATAGAGAGGCATAGTATTCATGTTCATAACATGGCATAATTGATGTTATTTAATTAAATTAGTTAGTTGATTACTCAAAACATTATATAATGAATAAATTCGTAATTATTATTGTGATAGACATTTATTTATTTTCAATAGGTGTGAGAACATAGTTAATTAGTTTGTTATTGTGTTTCACTTTGCATGTTTTACATCCCGAATAATTTGCTTATTTGAATTCCACAATCACTCATACTTTTGGAAGTAAGTAGTGAATTAAGACTGTCATGAGTTGAATTGTAGATTGTCTGCGTGTATTAGCCATTGCAATAAGATTGCTACAATGTTCATGAGTACTTAGAAAAATGAGGATATTGAGTATTGGATAAACCCACGTTCAGAGAATTACTTCATGGATTTTGTCACGAGTAATTTTGAGCCGATAATATCTTATATTCTTAAAATGAAGATATATGATTTGTAATTTACAAACCGGTTGTGTAGTGGTATTGCGAAAACTCATCAGTAATGCGATATTATAAAATTTAGTGTCATGTACGATTTGGTGAGTAAAAGATACAAGCATATGAGTCAAAAGTTATTCATTTCTTTTGCCCTAATGGGAAAAGTGATATATATGGGTCCCTCGATGACTTGAAGTCGACATCTAAAGTGTTTGGCCAAGCCCAGACTAAATTGATGTATTCAATTATTAGTCTGAATTCAGTCATCATAAATTAGGAAACCGGGAAACAAAATTTTGGACAATGAGATTGATTTCAATCCATGTCTCATATCCATACGATATCTTGTAGAATGAAGGAATATTTGATCACTTATCTAAGGACCAATATCTGATCGGATTAGAGTTCATCGGTTGCTTTGGAAAACATCCTTTGCTGTTTAATTTAGAAGTAATGCATGCAATTTAGTTTTGAACATATCCAAGTGGGAGACTGTTGGATTAGGTGTCTAAGTCAATAACTAAAGGGCAAATGTCATAAAGAGGCCTTTAGATCAATCGATATATCAAACCAAGACAATAAATAAGAACAAGAGAAATTCACGAAGAAAAACTTTCACTAAGAAAGATAATCTCACTAAGAGATTATCGTGTGCACAAAGCGACAATTAGGGTTTGTGAAAGCGCACCTATTCACAAACCTGTACAAGATAATATATATTGTTATTATAGACAATCCCTACAATCCAAGGATATGCTAGCTAACTAATTTACGCTAACTATGGAAACAAGATAAATAGAAAAACTGTTACAATGTGCTGAATAAAGATATATATACTAATACTGATACTGATGCTGATGCTGAGTCATGAGCTGACGCTGATAGACTAGTTTCAAACATCATCATATTTCAAGGTTTGACCTTACAATCTCCCCCAATATGATGTTGTTCAAAACCAACTAGATTAAAACACCTCTGGACAAGAATTCTTCATACTCAGCTTCAGCTTCAATTTTAACTGGCCAGTAAGGACTGTCCAGCAATTCCTGTCTTCTGTTCAGCAGCTCCATGGCAATAAGAATGTGAAATTCTCCGGATAGATCTTGATGAATCATGCACATTTGCCTTAAGCCAACAAGGTGAGTGGTTGGAGCCTTTGGGATCTCAGTAGTTCGTTGAAAGCACATCCTCCTATTTTTGTCGAGATAGAACATCTCGTGTTCAGGAGCTGAGATGAATTGATGTTGAACCGGATCAACAACGAGAGGAAGAGAATTATTAATCACATCAGCACCGAAGTCTAAAACCAGTACTTCTTCACCATCAACATGAAACTTGGTCCTTCGAGATCTAGGAAATGACGACCTTTGTCCTTGATGCTGAGGTCGTTCTTTGGGAACAAGATCCAAACGCTGAACCTTCTTGATCAGTAGATGAAGAGCACAAGTCAGTTCGGAAGAGTGAGCTGAGGTTTGCTTGGATGCTAGATCAAGCAGTTCCATCCATTCCGAACACCCATATCTAATCAGCTCATCCCTTTTGACAACTTCAGTATATGAGTGCTGAGGACCTTGACGAGTGATCAGCAACGTAAGGATTTTCTCGATTCGAGGTTTAGAAGCTTTAACTTTGATGATCTTATCTCCACACATTCGACGATTAAAAACATCTTCAAATCTCTTTCGATCAATCCGGTCAAGAACACTGTCAGTCTTAGGCTTGCTAGAGCTAGGAGAAGGTTGAGAAGACTGAGCCTTGGACTGAAATTCCAGGAACTTCTGCATCTGAGCTTCAAACGATCCCTTGGCCTGAAGTTTGTGCTGAATAAGGGATTCATCAGCTTGAGCAATGTTCTTTAGAAGCTGAGCTTGATTGGCTTCATCAAGAATTTGCTTGACTTGGTCAAGGGACATGTTCCATTCAGTGGCAAGGTTTGAAATACTGACAATGGACTTAGGTTTCTTCACAGTAGAAGAAGTATCAGTTTGAGAATGATCCAAGTCAATATCTGCTACCTTCCGCTTTCGAGACAGCGGATGAGATTCTTCACTGGCAATGTCCGAATCCTCTCCTTGGACCGGAATGATGGGATCAGCAATAGAATCGGTTAGTACCGGATGAGATTCTTCAAGGTCATCTGAGCTTTCTTGCTGAACTGGAATGAGAGGATCAATGAAGTTCATGTCAAGAATTTGACATTCATCATCAGGTTCATCATGCTCTTCATCATGCTTTTCAGTAGCTGCTGGACTATTATGCCCCGCAGAATCAGATTCAGGAATGGGGTTGGGTGATTCATGCTGAAAGATAGTGTTGTCAGCAGGTTCTGTGTCTTTCTCATTTGGCTCACCATCAGCATGATCATCAGCATCAGCATCATCATTAGTATCTCCCCCTTTTTGAGCATCATCAGATTTGGGGCTAGAGGGAGGAGGAAGTAAGAGAACCTCCTTGATTTGTTGAACATCAGCCTCAATACGAAGCAGACGCTGACTCATGTCCCGAGTCAATGACATAAGTTCAGAAAAAGCTGAAGCGGGAATTTGAACCATTGCGGTACCTAGGGAAACTGGAGAGCTAGGTTGCATCCTTGGAGAGAAGTGGTGAGCTGCTGGTGATGGATGCTCCCCCTGAGACTGATGCTCCCCCTGTGAGGGATGCTCCCCCTGAGATGGTTGCTCCCCCAGAGGCATGGAATCCTGTGGTGCAGAGGAGAATTTGCCAGTGTCTGAGATGAGGTGATGAGAAAGTTGAGGTGAGAGATGTCCGCCATCATGATGTTCCACCTCTTGATCAGCAAGATCCATATGATTACCATCAGCACCTCCTTCATCAGTGTCATCGGTGAGAGAAGGCACAATGTATGGATTGGCAATCCATTCTCTCATCCGATCGGAGATTCCAATGTCGGTATCTAAAGGATCATCCTGATACATACGAACTGACATTCGAGGACATTGGATTGGATTCCCAGAGTGAGAAAAGTAGTCAGCAGCGAAAAACTTGTCGAATACTAGGGCAATCCAGCGTGGAAAGGGAACATGATCAACACGTACATTTGCTCGTAGAAGCTGAACAAGCTGATCAAAGAAAAGTGCCCCATAATCCAGTATTTTGTTGAGAAGAAGGGAGCAGACAACTTGTTGCTCATAATTGCTCAGTTGGTCACCACTACGAGACTTGTGACCCACACACTTGCACAGAGCTCCAGTGAAAAACTTCCAGCTTGGGGTCATACATTGACGCAAAATAAGAGCTGATCGAGTGCCAACCTTTGAGTGATCATAGCCCAGTTGATCAAACATGCGTTTACATCTTTCAATAGATGGAGGTTCAGAGAAGGGTTCGAAGATTGGTAACCTTAAAGCAGCACTGAGAAGTTCTGCGGTGATGAAGACAGAGTGTCTTCCATGGCCAATGGTTCCGGTGATGGCGTTGTTTTCTTCATTAACGGTTGCAGTGTAGTAGAACTCGCATACTTGTTCTGGGAAGAACTCGGATGGTACATCGCTGATTGCATATCGAAGGCGACAAGAAGCCAAGAAATTTACGAAATCATCGAGTCCAAGACCTCGATGAACCTCTGGAATGTCGGGGTTGAAGACTACATTGGTAGCCTTGATGTGAATGGGAAGAGGAGGAGATCTTGGAGCAGGAATGACCCTTCGAGAAGTTGAGGAGTATGTGAACAAAGATGCCGCCATTGGAGAGTATTTGAGAATTCTAGGATTTTTGAGAGAGGTTCAAGATTTTTGGGAAGGAGAAATTAAACCAAGGGAGAAAGAGGTTTAAATATGGAACAAAAGGGTTTTTAAAAGGTAATGATTATCTTCTGATCTGCTTGATTATCGTCATTAAGGATAACAGCGCATCGTAACAACCTGTCAGAGTAGAAAATAGCCGTTTGATAAAAGAGCCGTTGACAGAAGATGAAATGTCAATCAGTGTTTGCGGAAGCGCTGAGCTCAGTGTCACAAAAGTTACATGCTGAAGAAAATTTCTACGTCAATTCAAGGTACAACTTGCTTAATCGGGGCTAGCAAGGAGATTGGTGCGTGTGATAGATACTAGTTACATTATCTAACCATCGGCACAGATTTTTAGACTCTCATCAGCGTGTGTTTTGGCACACTGAATCACAGAATTAGTAAAAGATTGGTAAGAAGGGATAGTTGCGTGTGATAGATCTTGGTGTTTTGATCTAACCATCGGCAAAGATTTTTAGATTCTTATCAGTGTGTGTTTTGTCACACTGAATCATGAAACCAGTGTAAGATTGGTAAGAAGGGATAGTTGCGTGTGATAGATCTTGGTGTTTTGATCTAACCATCGGCAAAGAGTTTCAAGTCGTTATCAGTGTATGGTTTAATACAGTGAATCATTCAACTTTTGTTTAGAAGACTTGAAGAAGAGATAAAGATAAGAAATCAAACCTAAGTGCTCAGTAGCAAATGTCATCAGTATGTCATCATCAGCACAATGTACATCAACTTATAAGACAATATCAAACATTAGCACAATTAAATGTCAAAACCAATTACAAGGAAATCATTCCCAGTTCTCTGATAATGTAAGCAGTTGATTGAGAATCCAGTGCCTTTGTGAAGATATCAGCAAGTTGCTCCGAAGTCTTGACATGTTCAAGAACAACTTTTCCTTTTTCAACATTATCTCTGATGAAGTGATGTCTGATCTCGATATGCTTTGTCTTTGAGTGCTGAACAGGATTTTGTGTGATCTGAATGGCACTGGTGTTGTCACAATAGATGGGAGTCTTTGAGAATTTGAACCCATAGTCGAGAAGCTGATTTTGAATCCATAAGAGCTAAGCATAGCATCTTCCAGCGGCAACATACTCAGCTTCTGCAGTTGAGATGGCAACTGATGTTTGCTTCTTGCTAGACCAGCTGATGAGACGGTTGCCAAGGAAGTGACATCCACCATATGTACTCTTTTTGTCTAAATTGCATCCTGCATAATCTGAGTCAGTGTATCCATAAAGTTCAAATGTTGAGTCGCGAGGATACCATAGTGCAAGGTTTTGAGTTCCCTTTAAGTATCGAAAAATACGTTTGACAGCCATGAGATGAGATTCTTTAGGATTAGCTTGGAATCGAGCACAGAGAATGGTTCCAAACATGATATCAGGACGACTTGCTGTGAGATATAAGAGGGATCCAATCATTCCTCGATACAGAGAGTGATTGACATCTGTTCCAGTTGGATCAGCGTGTAGCTTATCAGTCTTAGATACTGGGGTAGAGGCTGGCTTGCAGTCACTGAGAGAATACTTAACAAGCAGGTCAGAAATATATTTACTTTGACAAATGGAAATACCTGTCTTTTGTTGTTGAACCTCAAGACCTAAGAAAAAGATCATCTTTCCCATCATGCTCATTTCGAACCTTTGAGACACGATCTCTGCAAATTCCTTGCTCAGTGTCTCATTTGGAGAGCCAAAAATAATGTCATCGACATAAATTTGAACAAGAACCATATCTAAGCCTTTGTTTTTGATGAAGAGAGTGTTGTCGATTGATCCTCGTCTGTATCCATTTTCAAGCAGATACGATGTCAGTGTCTCATACCAAGCCCTGGGAGCTTGCTTCAGTCCATAAACAACTTTATCTAACCGGTACACGTAATCAGGATGATCTTTGTCCACAAAGCCTGGGGGCTATTTTAGGAACACTTCTTCTTCTAACACACCATGAAGGAATGTTGTCTTCACATCCATCTGATAGAAAATGAAGTTCATGTAGGATGCGTATGCGAGAAACAGCCTGATAGCTTTAATGCGAGCAACTGGGGCAAAAGTTTCCCCGTAATCGATAGATTCAATCTGAGTGAACCCTTGAGCTACAAGCCTTGCCTTGTTGCGAGTGATGATACCATCTTTATCAACCTTGTTACGATAGACCCAGCGAGTTCCAGTGATAGTCTTCCCGGATGGTCTTGGGACAAGAGTCCAAACTTTGTGCCTCTCAAACTCATTCAGTTCTTCTTGCATGGCTTGGATCCAATCAGCATCTTGAAGAGTTGTGTGTACTTTATCAGGCAAGATCATTGAAACAAAGTTAACATACATGCAAAAGTTATTAAGCACACTAGATCTAGTTCGGACACCATCATGAATATTCCCTATAATTCGATCAACAGGATGATCTCGATGTTCAATGACTAATGCTGATTCTGGAGAGATAGATACTGACACATTATCAGTTTCAAGAAAGTCTTCAGCTTCAAGGGTTTCATCAGCATCTAATGAGTTATCTGCTGATGTGGTTGTAGTATCTTGACTTAAGGAACATGGAACTGGAATGATAGGATCAGAGGAATCAGTCTTATCTTCTGCAGAAGGTGCTTCATCGAATGGACAAAAGAGAAGCTCTTGAAAGATAGAAGGAGAATGAGTGACTTTTTCATCAGTGTATGATTCCTCATCAAACTTCACATTAATGGATTCTTCAACACATTGCATGTTCACATGAAAAACACAAAAAGCTTTTGAAATAGATGAGTACCCAACAAAAATACCTTTATCAGCCTTAGGTTCAAACTTGGATCTTGGATCACGCTGATTTAGAATATAACAAATGCATCCGAACACATGAAAAAAGGATACATGTGGTTTTCTATCTTTCAGCATTTCATATGGAGTCTTCTTGTGAATCCTATGAATTAGAGATCGATTCTGAGTAAAACATGCTGTATTGACAGCTTCAGCCCAAAACAACATAGGAAGACCAGCATGGATCATCAAAGTCCTTCCTGCCTCAATCAGTGTTCAATTTCTTCGTTCAGCAACACCATTTTGCTGAGGAGTGCGAGGAGCTGAGAAGTTTTGTCCAATTCCTTTATGATCACAAAATTCTTCAAGAGTTGAGTTTCGGAACTCAGTGCCATGATCACTTCTTATTTGCTTAACTTTAAGACCTGTCAGTGTCTCATTTTTACGAATCAGCGAGATGATTTCCTGTGCAGCCTGACTTTTCTTCTTCAAGAAAATTACCCATGTAAATCGAGTGAACTCATCAACAACCACTAGAGTATACTTATTTCCACCTAGAGAACGAACAGGAATAGGTCCAAACAGGTCCATGTGGAGTAGATGAAGAGGGACTGATATACTGGAACATGACTTGGGTTTGAAAGAGGACCTGGTTTGTTTTCCTTGTTCACACGCTGAACACATCTTGTCTTTCACAATGCTGAATTTTGGGAGCCCTCTAACTAGATCTTGATTGGATATCTTGGATAGATTCTTGAAGTTCAGATGAGAAAACCTTTTGTGCCAAATCCAGCTAAGATTCGTCTGAGACTTTGAAAAGAAACATTGCATTAGTGCCTTGTCAATTGAGAACATGTCAAGAACATATATATCATCTTTTCTATTTGCTGAGAGTATAATGTTCTTGTCAGTGTTAACAACTCTTCCTTCCTTCTTTGTAAAGTGAACTTCATAGTCAGAATCACACAACTGACTGATAGAAATGAGGTTGTGTTTGAGACCCTTTACATATGAAACATTTTGAAAAACCACGTTATTGCATTTGATGTTTCCATATCCCTTTGAACCCCTGTCCCCTTTCAATTGTCTCCATAAGTGACTGCAGGACCAGTTTTCTTAACATAATCTTCCAGGAGAGACTTTGATCCTGTCATATGCCTTGAGCAACCACTATCTAAATACCAAAGATGCTCCTGACCCTGCAGTATTGAGAAACTAGTTAGACACACTGAACCATTCGAAGATGGGTCATTCACAAAGTTATCTGATAATAAATTATAACATTCCTTAGGAAGACAATTTAAAGAGTTTGACTTAAGAGTCCATTTTTCATTCCTAACTTTAATATTTTCAGCTCTTGAGGATGATTTATCAAAAGAACATTCACTGATCTTGTGAGAGGAGTCACCACATCTGTAACAAACTCTAGTTCCAAAGTTCTTCTTGGTGAGCAAATTTTTTGATTTAACACATTTTGATATGTAGGATTCACAAATAGAGCTTTGAGTCCTTTTGTTTATCACTGAGTCACGACTGAGTTCAGTGTCATAATGAATTTGATCAGTGTTAGAGGATGAAATATCAGTATCTGATTTTGACTCATTCACAGATGGATTGCAATCAGGGAAGTGCTTGAGTTGTTCATGAACAGCATGAAACACTCCATTAGAAATAGGAAAAGCAATAATATTTTCAGTCAGAGGGGTTGGTCTAACAAGATGTGTAGGATAAGAGGTAGGATCAATTCCAGTAATTTCAACATTACATTCAGTGATACCATCAGAATTAACAGTGCAATATTCATCAATTAAACTTTGATTAATAAAAGAGTTACTGACAAACTTATTTTTGAAATTATTTTTCATTTCTTTCATGGAATAGACCTCAGATTCCTTTTCTTGTGATTTAAAAACCTTTTCAGCTTCTGCAAAATTACCCCCAAGAATTTTTTCACAAGAATGAGGAATTTGAGCTGAGATAATATAATTGACATTCTTATGAGATTTTCCCCAAGTGTGGAACACAGTTTGTTCTTTAATCAAAAGATTTTTAACATCGTCAATTTCAGCAGACAAGGATGAATTTGACAAACTGGTAATTCTAAGATTTTCCTGAGTGGACTCAATAATGCTATTTTTTATGGATATATCAATTTCAAGAAGATCAATTTGATTTTGCAAATTTCTTATGGTTTGATTTTTCTTAGAATTAATGACACCCAAATACTCAAACATTTTGATTTTTTCATTCATTGAATAGGAAACAAAGTTTTTAACCTGGTACATTGAAGAAGAGTCAATGTTGTGCTTCCTGGAATTTTCAGCATCAGACATATCAGTGTCAAAAGTACTTTTGTCTTTATCGGGAATATCCGGGTCCTCTATTTTGACCATGAGACACTTGACTTCATCATCTGATGACTCTTCATCAGTTTTCCGTTTTTCTTCTTCAGCTACAAGCACTTTATGTTCCAAATTTTCAGCTTTCAGCTTCTCAATCAGCTTGTTGTACTTCTGCTTCCAGTATTCATCTGTGCCTTGTTTCTTTTGTTTACAATCCTTTGCAAAATGATCAGTGCTCCCACAGTTAAAGCACTGAGCCTTTTCTTTCTTATCAGCACCATGCCTTTTATCAGCTCCTGACCCTTTTGAGAACTTTCCACCAATCTTCTTTTGAAACTTTGAGAAGTTTCGACCTGATTTTTCAAAGGTCTTCACAATCAAGGCTGCACTAGCTACAACCTTTTCAATATCATCAGTGTCAGTTTTAGATGAATCAGTATCTGAATCACTTTCAGTGTCTGAGTTTGCCACAAGCTTTTTGTTGGAAAACAAAGCTACAGAAGATTCACGTTGAGAATCCTTCATCAGTTCCTTTCTTTGAAGCTTGGATTCTTCATAGTATCGAAGATTTCCATAGAGACTTTGTAAGTCCATAGAGTTGATCTTCTCGCTGTTTTTCAGCACATCAACATGATTCTCCCAACCTGCACCTAGAGAATCCAAAAACTTTTGCACTAGAACAGTTCTATGCTTCAACTGATCTAGTCTCCGAAGATCGTTAACAAGAGTATTGAATCTGTTAAAGGTTTGAGTCAAGGTTTCACCTTTCTTAGCAAAAAAATGTTCATACCTTCGGTTGAGATCATTTATTTGAGTAGCCTTGACTTCTTCAGTTCCTTCAAAAGATACAGTCAGCGTATCCATCATCTCTTTTGCTGAGATGCAATTTTGAACCAGCCCAAAGATGTTGTATGGCAATGAGTAACTAATAGCTGCACGAGCACGAACATCCAAACCATGTTTTCTCTTGTCGTCTGCCGTCCAGTTTTCTTTTGGATTTTTCTTCATAGTACCATCAGGAACATTGTTTTTAAGAGGTTGATACATTGGAACATAAGGACCTTTTTCAACGATGTCCAGCATGTCTTCATCAACAGATTCCAAGGCATATAGGGCCTTTATTTTCCACATAGCAAAGTTAGTTTCATCGAAAGGAGGGATTTTAGCAGAAGGATGATTTGACGAGTTTGATGAAGAAGAAGATGAAGCCATTTGTTTGATAAAAGAAACCTGCTCTGATACCAATTAAAGAGGCCTTTAGATCAATCGATATATCAAACAAAGACAATAAATAAGAACAAGAGAAATTCACGAAGAAAAACTTTCACTAAGAAAGATAATCTCACTAAGAGATTATCGTGTGCACAAAGCGACAATTAGGGTTTGTGAAAGCGCACCTATTCACAAACCTGTAGAAGATAATATATACTGTTATTCTAGACAATCCCTACAATCCAGGGATATGCTAGCTAACTAATTTACGCTAACTATGGAAACAAGATAAATACAAAAACTGTTACAATGTGCTGAATAAAGATATATATACTAATACTGATACTGATGATGATGCTGAGTCATGAGCTGACGCTGATAGACTAGTTTCAAACATCATCATATTTCAAGGTTTGACCTTACATGTCATATTATACCAACCAACTTATCACGTTTGTTTTAAAAGGTCACTAAAGTATTTTTTTTTTTTGTACATTAAGGAAATAAAGTAGAATGTGAGCGGTTGAAATCGCCTATTAACCCCTTATAAGAGGTCACTCAATAATAATAATATAAATATAAATTAAAAAAAATTAAAAAAAGAAAAAAAAAAGAAAGCTTAAACGTGATCAGCGACGTTAACCCATCTTTATCCCTCCTTTGTCTTTACTCTAAACATCAAATCCACACAACAACACCTCAAAGCCCGTCAATGACACCCTCATCTATTCCATCCCCATTTTCTCTTGCTGGAAACCTCCATCGACAACCAACCACCACTGGTATCTACTTCGCATCCTTGTACCGCAATCGATCGAACCATCTTAAGAATAATCCAACACCTCACTGCCATAATTGATGTCCTGCAAATTGATTGAAGAACACATACACAGACAAAAACAAATCTAAACTTGGAATGCCCTTAAAGATTCAAACTGTCAAATGGTAATCGAATCCTTCTCTAATTCTTCATCGAAAACTAAAGATATGAATGTTTAATAGTTGATATCAGTTTTTGGGATACATAAGTCGAACACAATTTTGGAGTCGATTTTGACTAAAATTTGTGTTCGTTAGGTTATTGGAGTCAAATGTACTTGGATTAGAGTCGAACACTATTTCGATTGTCGTTGCTTTTTTATTCGATTCATGAAATCGATTTGGGAATTGAATGAGATAGTTCAACTGGGGCAAGTGTCATATTTGATATTGGTTGGATTTGACTGATGACTGTTGTTGGAGTTTGACTGAATGAGCTTGGAATCAAATGTCTTGAAATCGAATGTCTAGATTGAAGGGTCGAAATTGATTTGATGATCAATAGTTGAAATTGATATGCTTCCCGTTGAAAGCCTAATGAATGTAATGGAAATAGAAGAATTATTGTTGAATAAGTCAAATGTGAATTTGTCAGCA